GAGAGTTTTTAGTTTACTTTGAGTATGTTAAAAAGACTTGTACTGGAATCTCTAGGAATGCGGGAGCTTCTGGGTAAGGTTTTACTTTCGTTTTTCTCTCTCCCAGTCCACGGTACCCATGCATTAGATCAATGCTGTCGCACATCCCGCAAAGTTACAAGTGCCTAGAATCTTTTAAGTATATACAGTTTTACATTGCTTCTAGATATCTAAATGAATAAAAATAGTTCACTTTTACAATTAGTGTACGAATTCAGTTAACAGCTTTGGTTACGCGCGAGTGTGTCACTGGATCGTTGCCTCACTCCCAGATAATTTACCCTCTGCGATATAAAAACTTATTGTTAATGGCCCGAGCAAAACTTGGTGGGCTCGGGCCTCCGGGGTCGGAACTATAATTTCTAACGCTGCGGGCGCGCACGGAAGCGATTTTTCTCGTATTCTTTCCAAAATTTTCGCTCTCGTAATTGTTGTTACCAGAGCGCTTTGAAAGCTGACGGGAGCGAAATCGCTCGCCGCTCCCGTGTATTTTTTTCGCTGGTTCTGATGTCTGTGTGACACTAGATGTGAAATTGTTAGTTTCATTTATCGGTTGATCGGAGTGAAACATCCTCGGACAAGAACAGACAGGCAGGCAGAGGGAGACGCGTAGACAGGCCTGCAGCCTGCGTGACACACCAGCTGTTCTCATTTATCAGACGTGGAGGAGTGACGACGATGTCAGTGTTAATTTCTCGCAATGGCGGATATTTCAGACTGACTACGCGGAGGCGTGTAAGCAGGCCACCCAGCTGAAGGGCCAAGCGCAGGCCCTACTCACCGCCGCGAAGACGCTAGCCGGCATGCAGCAAGCAGACGAAGTGCCCGACCATCTGGTGCAGGTACGACCCGTGAAACCAAATAGAGTAGTAACTAAAAGACGCAGACGTAGTAGCTAAGATGATGTAGGTATATTTCCGACACGGCAACGTATTAGCCAGCGGGCCGTGCAGCCGTGATTTTCACGGTCAGTTTTGAAACTGCATGGCCAAAAATGTGTAGCACGGCCTAAAATATTGATCTAAAGACACGTACAAAAAAATTGCACTCCCAAATATTTTTTCTGCACTCCCACAATACTCATTCCTGGTTAATAGCCTGCGACACGGGGACCCCCGGGTGTTTCGACGACACTCTCTGCACGTGCCGACGCAGTAGTGAGAAACGATTGATTGCCGGTGGAGGCTCAACGTTAACACGTTCCACGCGAAACACAGGTCAACTCGTTCGAACAATCGTAATGCACGTCCGTGAAACGCGAGTCAACTCGTGGTAACATCGTCAAGTAGACCGCCACTAAACTTGTTTTGTAAAAAGATTTATCACTGTGGTAATTATAGTATTACTCAATAGATGGGACTGTCTGCGCAAATATGAAATGAGTGTATGAGTTGACTCGCAGATGATTGTTTTGCAGACGTTTCTCACCTACCCGGACAATCAAATAGGTAGAAGTAATAAATGGGAGGCTCGACATTAATTGTGTCGCGGACGATTGTTTTACAGACGTGGTGCCATCGTGCTCTATGTAAGTTAACACAGCCCTGCACGGTGCCATCGTGCTCTATGTAAGTTAACACCATGGCCTTATCTGAGATTATAGGGCATACCATAGGTTACCGGTTATGGTAAACAAATGGGGGGAAAATCTTCCGTCTGTCGTGTTTCTAAAATGTTAATCGGGTTTTGTTGTCGTTTTTGTTGATGTTGTCATCGCTGTCATTGTTGTTATTGTTGTCGTCGTCGTTGCTTGCGGCGCCGGTCGGTCGGCCGTAATCCATCGCGCTCGTCTCGGTAACCGCGGCAACCCCGCTCTCGTCTCTTCCGCCGTCTGGCCGCAGGTGAACATGTATGACTCACGGATGGCGAAGTACGTCGAGAACCACATCAACTTCAAGGACATGGTGGCGTTCGTCTGCGAGGACGCCGACGACATGGAGTTGTTCATGAAGACCCTGCGCGACGAACAGGACCTGAGGATCAACGCCGTCAAGGTTCCCGACGAACCCCTCGCGTCGTTCGTTCCGCCGAAGCCGATCGAACATTACTCGTGAGTACGACGCGGTTCGCGCGTGCGGGGTTCGGAGCGCCACAGATGTTCACGCGAACGCACGCGTGAGGTTACTACTTACGTGTTTGTGATGGCGGGTGTGCGGTACTGTGCAGGGGAAGGGGGGCGCGGTGTCCAAACGACGTTCAAAGGCGAAATATGAGAGACTAGTATCACAGCGACGCACGAATTATCGGCGGCGGCGAGGGGAGGGGTTACCTCCCGTAGCGCGTGCTTGCTCTTCACTTCGGCTCGAGGATTTCTGCTTCCCCCGCAACGTGCGTAAACACTGATGCTTGACTTCCTCCTCTCCTCCTCCTCCTCCACCATACATTTGCGATGGCGGGTGTGCGGTACCACGCAAGGGAAGGGGGGGGGGTGCGGTGTCCAAACAACGCCAGAGCTAGCAACAACGTTCCAAGACAAAATACGAGAGACTAGTATCATATCGATTCATCGCGAACCGACGCTTGACTTCCGTCTACCTCCTCTCCTCCTCCTCCTCCTCTTCCCGCAGGCGATATGGCTTCCACAGCTTCCTTCGCGAGCTGTTTGACGCGCCGGAGGGAGTCGTGCGCTACCTGTGCGCGCAGCACAGAGTGCATCAGATCCCCGTCGGCGACGAAACGACCAAGCGAGACGTTGAGGAAGTGATACGACGCTGCGGCCTGCAGACCTTCTACACGGCCAATCACAAGGTGCGGCGGGGAAGGGTAGGGGGCGGGGGGCGACAGGCAGGCAGGGGGGAGCGAAGGGGTGGGCGGGTGGACAGCAGGCAGGGTGGGGAGGAAGGGTGGCGGGGGCGACAGGCAGGCAGGGGGGAGGAAGGGTGGCGGGGGAAGGGGATCGGCTGTGGCAGGTGGGCAGAGAGGAGGGGTGGGGAAGGTGTTGGGGGAGGGAGAGGTGCTAAGGGTGGCGGGGGAAGGGCGGGGGGAGGGGGATGGGACGGGTGTCGCAATTGATGTGATGGTTGTGATGTTAAAATTGTTGTGATTGTTGTAATTGATGCGATTGTTGTGATTAGTGCGAATGTTGGAGGTAGGTGTTGCAATCGATGCGATTGTTGTGATTATTGCAAATATTGGAGGTAGATGTTGCAATTGTTGCGATTGTTTGTCATGTCTGTTGTCATACAGTCATATAAATTGGATGGTGCATGTCAGTTCGATCACTTTGTTTTGCAGTTTTCGGTCAGGAAGTCTAAATACGGCAATCGGGATACTGTATCTAGTAGCACAGAGCTGCGGTGAGTGTCGAATAGGTTCTATAGCATTTGACATATATGTGTGTGTGTGTGTGTGCATGTCTGCGTGCCTGTGTGTGTGCTGTTTAAATTATATAACATTTATATTATATATTTGATCATATGAGTTTCGCAAAAGTTTATTCTCTCATCATACCAGACTGCGAACCTACCTTGAATTGTGCAAGTGCAGCATGGAATTTCATGAGCGAGATTAACTTAACCCCTTCACTTTTATAATGGGCAAAACTGTCCCGAGTTTTCCCGTACAAGCTGCTATCGGCTATGACCTCACATTGAGCTGCTGGTGGAATTTACTGCTTCGTTACAGAGAAGCCAGCATCATCGCTATGACAGTCGATCAGGCGCAGATCAACGAGCTGCAAGAAAGCCTGTCGGTGAGTGTGACAACACGAGGTGGAGCGGACGCTCCACTGCTTGAAACCCACTAGAGTCGTCACGGTTCCCCCCTGCACAAACAATGGCATAGTTTCATCGTCAGTTTTTCTTGGCGAATTTGCGAAGAACTGCCGGAGTTTTTAGGTCTCTGCCCCCAAAGACACGTCCTCCTCAAGCGTCTTCTATACTGTGGTTAGTTTTTTCCTGGCAGCATCCTTATGCTCCCTGCGTGTGTGCGCTATCTTGTCACTATTCAGATGAATTCTCAAAGCATCACACACACGCATGCATACACGCACGCACGAACTTACCCGCACCCACACACCCATGCACACACACACATGCACGCACACACACACACGCATACATGTACGCACACACAAACACATGCACATGCACACTCACACGTCTTTCATCAACCGTGCCTCTCCATTATAGCACCGCCATCCCGCTCGTTCCTCGCGTCGATCTTTCCCTGCCTATCGGCACGCCCGCCACGCAGCCTCGCGTTCCACCATTCCCATTCCCGAAAACGGACAGGGAAGGAGAGTTTTTGCATTCTACATTGTCGCCAATCTCCAGCGAATCGGCTTCACATCGAGAGATAGAGAGGGTTAATGACGTTTGATATGCTCTCGCCATGACCTTCCCCCTTCCCCTCTCTTTCGCAGCGTTTCTCGGAGGAGAAGGCGGCGGCTCAGACGGAGCAGGAGCGCGTTCGTAAGGAGGAGCACCAGCTGGTGGCGCAGGTCGAGAGCCTGCGCGTGAAGAAGGTACGAACAGCAACAACAGCAGTGGCGACGGTCAGCTTCATCGCACAGCAATGTCGGGGGGTCAGAACGAACACTCGCGACAGTTAACAACGGCGCACGCGCTCGCGGGAAATTCCGGGACGCCACACGTGGCGGCAGTTTGTAGGAAATACGCGCCACGCGCCCGGGACAGGGGGATTGCCGTGACGATGGCGTACGTTTGTGGGCGCAGACTGCGCAGTGGCACGGAGGGGAGCGGGGCGCGGTCGGGTGACGCGCATGCGTAAATCGTCCACGCCGTAACGTCGTGATCTGACCACGAGTGTTCTCGTCGCATCGGACGCACGCATTTTATTTCTTTTTTCGTTGCAGAAAGAACTGCAGCAGAAGAAGTACGCCAAGGCGCCGCTCGTCGAAAAGATCAAGCTCAAGGAGGACAAGTAGGTCTCTAGGAGTCCGTTCGCTAGATGCCAGATTGTAGCCACAAACGTGGGCAGCGTTGTCGGCAGAGGATTGTTTTAAAATTATTTGTTTAGATTTTTTTTTAATCGCGCATTTTTAGCTCATCTGACGAAGTCGGATGCAGCTTGTAGAATCGCATGATTGTCCGTGCGTGCGTGCGTGCGTCCGTCAACAGTTGGGCACAAATCTAAACGGCTCGACGTACGGATTTGAAAGTTGGGACGTGGGGGGGTAATCCGAAAACGGGTTGGGATGTCGAAGCTGAGGGTCAAA